GGAACCAGCAGTTAGCGTAATGGCTATGTCGCTGGACTCCCACGTAGTCGACCGCGGTTCGTGTCCCGGACCCGGTGGCTTAAAACTCACGCCGGGCGCGTGTGCGTGTGTGCCCAAGATCCCGAGAGGAGAATGGAGGAGAAGGGATTGCGGTGTGACCATCCCCCCTGGGGGGTGATTTCTCGCTTTCTGTCTCTATGTCTCTCTCTGTCTGTCTGGCGAGCGCACGCGCCCTACAGTGAAAAATCTCTAAAAAAAAAAAAAAATAGAAATAGAAGATTCACGATAGGAAACAGGTGGGGAAAATGCAGACTTTGCTTGGAATGACTAAAGGGGACAATCCCCAGTCTTGGTTATTCACTTTTGGCATTAAATTCTGTGTTTTGAATTGTGAAGAAAAAGAAAATCGTAGAACATGAATGAAAAGTTGAAATGTATAGTTTAATATTAATGCCTGAAAGGCAGATTCTAATTAAAGAGTTTGGAACGTTTCTTATCTTTCGGGAAATGAAACCACCAGCCCAGTTCCCTATGCCCCTCATAACAGCCAAGACCATTGTAAGTTTCAGTAATTGGTTTTTTATTAAAATAAGAGACTGCAGTATAAATTTTAGTGATGGAGCTAAATACGCATTAACAGGCCCTGGGATCCAACCACAATTTGTAACATCATTCCTTTGGGAAAATGGATTCTAAGTGCCCAATAACTACTTTACAAATGGACTTTTGAATCATAGTCCATTGGAGAATAAGAAACTGTTTGTGATAGTAATGCCTTCGATGGGTTCGCTCGAGAACTGCACAGAAGGGACCTATATTCCACCACATGTGTGTGGTGAGCCCAGCTTGTCTGGGTTTGATCAAAGGTTATTGCTCAGTGGGTATGGAAAACACAGGAATTAAAACCCAAATAGAGGCTGGAGACAAGTCAGGGTGGAGTTAGAAGGATGGATCTGGAGAAGTTTTAGTGCCAGGAAAGGTTCTCAATTTCAAAGACAAAGGTTGTGATTCTGAGCTGATGAAATGACGGAAAACAGGATGGGAAATAGGTAAGGAGTGGGAGGAGAGGAAGTTGAAGGCCAAAAGTCCAAGACTTGGGGGGTAAAAAATTGAGAATCAATCCTACTTAAGGAAAAATGTAATATGAAATATACCAGGAACCCTGAGTAGCCCATAAAGAGGTCAAAGAGATGCCCCCAAGATCTGTGAATGATCTCCTATAGATATTCCAGTGAAATATTTAGAATCAAGACCTGGATACCTCAATTCATTTATGAGTTCAGCACATTTGTTGAGCACCTGCTCTGGGTTAGCATGATCAGAGCTTGGCAAAGGGAATTTTTGTTGTCATCAAATTTATGGTTTAGTGTAATTCCAGCCAACCACAAAATGAGCCAAAGCAGTCTAGGATCTAAAGGTAGCAATATCTAAATCCTCCCATATGGAGAATATTAGGTTTTCATTTACTCTTCCTTAATTTTGTGTATTTGTCACCTCGATTATAAAACTTATGATAGACAGCATGAAATACATATTCTTCATATTTTTTTTAATCACCATGGGAGTGTAATAGGTATTCCAATAACTGCATGTTGGTTGGTTTGACTCATATAGCTGCTTAATTGAATCCATTTTTGCTTGAGAAAACTACTTATTTATGTACTTTACTCTTCACCAGTGTGTGAGAACATGCTTGGTTGGTAGAATGTAAGTGTGAAAGGTCTGTTATTGCTATAGTGCAGTTCAATAGCATTTGTGCTCTCTTTGCAAGTGGAAAGAGTGAACACTGGGTATCTATAATTACACTGTGTATCTATAATTTGCAGGTCAACACACCCGGAAGATCATCATTCACTCCCTCATGCATCTGTAGCTCTAAGAGGCTTGCCCTGTTCTCCCACCTCCACTGAGCATTAGCATCCTTCTCTCCCATGTTGGTAGTGTGGTATACTTGTGTCTGTCTCTACAAATTGCATTGGACAGTTTATTCCAGACAGTAAACATGATAGCAAATGTTGCTGTCACACTAACTAGGCGTACTTGTGTTGCCATGGTTCCAAATCACTTTCTTTCATCTAAGTATACATAATGACAAGAATAGTACTGAATTGCCATTGGCCTCAATCAGTTGTGTTTTGTCGTAGCTTGGGCCACTGTAACAAAAATACCAAACACTGGGTGGCTTAGACAAATGTAATTTATTCCTCTGGTTCTGAAGTCTGGCAGTCAAGATCAAAGTATCAGCAAGTCTAGAGTCTGGCGAGGTCACTTTTTGCAAATGGCCAGCTTCTTGCTGGGTCCTCCCTTTATGCAAAGAGAGTCTATCTCTTCTTGTAAGGGCAGTAATCCCAATAATGAAAGCTCCACTCTCATGGCCCAATTATCTCCCAAAAGCCCTATGTTTAAATACCATCACCTTGGGGATCCATTTCAAAACGTGAATTTGTGGGGGCTCGGATGATACCTTTTCAGGGTTGAATTTGAAACACTTCGACTCTTATAATTCATATTTCCTGGTCGCAGTGGGCTGAGCGATAGTAAGAGACTCTCAGGAAGAGTGGCCATGAACATTCTGCTGTGTCCTCCATCACCCCCCCCTCACACACACACACAGACACACACACACACACACACACACACACACACACACACACACTCCAGTTTCTGTTAGAACTCCAGCTCACTTTTGGGTCCTTGCCCTGCAGGTTTTGGGGTAATATATAATTAAACACATCTCAGAAGCAATTTTCTGTTACCACAGTTCTGCTAATTATTTTCCCAGTGCTCAAACATTTTCTGCTGGTAACCTCCTTGCTCACACTTACCCAAGCCTCACACACCAATTGGATCAGGGCTCATGTCTGGGGGCCTCACCACTCTTCCACCAGATGAGAAAGAAGAGTCATTGGTCTGTCCTCACACAGGCTACAGAAATAACCCCAGTAGAAAAGTACCCTTCCTAATATGATTTTATACATTTCCACCTGAGCTATATGTTCTTAAAAAAATGTCCAGAGTGCCAGATGGTGATGCAGCAGTAATGCAATGCTATGTTAAGCTGGCCATATGGAAAGGTTCTGGCTTTGTGCCCAAAGACCTCCCTGAGTTCACTGGGCATGAGTACCCATGATCCAGCATCAAAACCCTGTTATGGGTGCTGTCTCTCTCTCTCTGTCTCTCTCTCATAGAATAAATAAATAAATAAATAAATAAATAAGCTTAAAGACAAAAAGGCACAGGCGAAAATTTCCGTATCAGGGATTTTTATTCTTCACTCCTTTTTTCTTGGGTCCAGACTTAAGTTTATGGGGGAGACCCATGAAGTAGAAGACATTGGGCCTGACTGAACTGGACCAAACATTGAGCACTGTCCATGGACCAAATCTGCATTCCTTGTCCCCTCCCTTCGGTGAATTGTTTTTGAGGAAGGTTTTGTGTCCTCCATGTACCGACCAACTTCTGGCAAGACACTCTCCAGAATGTCCCAGACCTGTCTTGAGCTCCTTGGTGAACACACCCAGGCTCTGAGCCGGCATTTCCCTAAGTGGGAGGAAATTTTTTTTCTCTACCCAATTCTAAAGGATAGGCTGTTTCTCATAGATAAATGTGAATGTTTTCAGGGTGCTTATTTGAGATTCTGAATTAACTCCCTAATTAACAATAAAATGTATAAAGTTTCTTTTATTTATTTATTTATTCATTCATGAGAGAGTGTGTTCATGTACATGCAAAAAGCAAGAGAGAGAAAGAGAGAGGGAGAGAGAGAGAGGAGCACCCTCCAGAGGGTCCTGTCATGCGTGATCTCCCTCCTCCTGTCCTCCAGTCCACCAGATCACGGGCACTCCCACATGGCCAGCATGCGTCAGGCTGACTGGGCCAGAAATTCAAACTGCAGTCACCATGTGGGATTCGACTTCCCTTGAGCAGCGCGTTACCATTGTGCCACAGAACTGGGCCAGTTTCTTTTATGTTTAATAAGTTCAATTTAACTTTTATTCATAGAATGTGGTTCCATTCATTGTCTATATACATCAACAAAGAAGGCATTTGTTCACTGCCTGAAAAAGGAGAAATGTGACTTGTCCTTAAAATAAGAACTCTATGATGAATAAATAGTAAGAAGAAGAAGAAGGATGGGTTTTAGTGTGTGTTTACTATGCAGATATTTCAAAAAGTTAATGGAAAATGGAACTTTAACAAAATAAGTTTATTTTGGTACAAAAATATTTTTAAATCTATGCCTGTGTTTTGCATAATACACATTTTCCATGAAATTTTTGAAGACCCCTCATATGTGACATAAAGTGAAAGATAGCTACTGTCATGACCCTTAGTTCCAGAGGAGAGCAGCTTGGATGTTCCAGGTGAATCCTAGAGCCCAACCAGATTGGGTTATTTTAAGTATTAAGTAGAGTTCACACTGGAGGATATTTCTACTCATAAAACAGATGAAAAGAGGGCATTCCAATGAAGATTTTTAAAAGAATTTTCTTATTTAATTTTTTTTTTTACTTATTATTATTACTTTTTCATTTGACGAGAGAGAGAGAGAGAAGGGTGGGGCAGGGAAGTGAGAAAGCAAGCTGCCAGGTCTGGGACTCTAACCGCAGTCAGCCATGTGGGAGTCCAGCGCATTAATCACCACACCTTCTGCTGGCCTCAATGAAGTTTTTTTAGTCTATTTATTTCTCTTATGAATGAGAAAAGAGTACAGTAAAGAGATGCCCAACAGTATCTTGATGCCCCGATCCATCCCCAGCCTCATTCAGTCCTGAATCACAAGCACACATGTGCTCAGCATGCTCAGGGAGGTCTGAGGACATAAACCCGGAACCATCCATGTGGGTCAGCCTTGTAAAGCACGGTATTAACCACTGCACCACTATCCAGCCACCTCTGCAATCTTGATGTAGAAATGTGTAAAGCTGTTTGTGCATATTTCATTAGAATGGACATGTTCTCATTTCAAGAAAATTTCTTTTGAATTACTCTTGTTCCAGGCAACAAGGGCAGCCATTACTCAGCACTGCACAGACCTTGGAAATCTGTTGGGCAAAGAAAACGATGTTGCCCTCATCATTGATGGCCACACCCTGAAGTACGCACTCTCCTTCGAAGTCCGGAGAAGCTTCTTAGATTTGGCACTGTCGTGTAAAGCAGTCATCTGTTGCAGGTAGGAGCGTGCAGGTGGCACGCAGTTTTCATACCCTGACGTGTATCCTGTGTTTATATAAATAAAGTAATGCATGGGAATTCTCAGCTTAGAGTTTTGTATCTTCAAAAGGCAAAACAAAAATGCAAACTTATCTTTTTTTTTAAAGAAATAATTATTTATTTAATTTGATTTGTTATTATAATTAGTATTATTATTTTAATTTGACCAGAGAGAGAGAGAGAGAGGAAAAAAAAAGGGAAAGTAAGAAAGCAAGCTACCAGGTCCGGGACTCAAACTGCGATCAACCATGTGGGAATCCAGCGCCCTTAACCACCACACCACCTGCTGGCCCCACAAACTTATCTTTAACTATTTATACAGTTTTTGCAGTAGGCAGTTACTGGTTTTTCCATTGTGTTTTGTTTTGCCTTCTGAGGAAAAAAGAGATAGAATTAGGGCTTCTTATCATATTCACGGTGGCGGATAATTTGGACAAACTGTCTACTTGGTTCCTTGGTTCTGGATGTCTGAACTCAATTTCTAAAACTTGTGGGGCTTTGATGTCTCTTCTCTGATATCTAGTGGTGTTTCTTTTCAGGCACAACAAGGAACTTTGCTTAGGTTCATGTGTTACCAATTTTTGTGTTAAGGCCTAACCAGAACTTTTTGTTGGCTCTTCATGGAGTCTGGGAAGGTTTATCGGGTAAGCACGGTTACAGTCCATTGACTATTGAGTACGTGGAGATTCGGGTCTGTTAGAGATTTGGAAGTCAAAATTATAAAGCACATAATCTACTTGTAAGATAAATAGCCACCAAAAGCCAGGGAGAACTGGAGTGCCTGACCGGCAGAGCCTCCAGAGTGGAAAGACGTATGGCTTACGTGCCTGTGGTTATAGGCTATTCAAGGACAATAAGGGCAAAGACCGAATTCAGATATGTTAGAAACAATTAGTGTTTTACCTCTGCTCTACTTGTAAGTCAGGAAGCCTGGTGCAGTTGTGAGGGACGTGGGAGTCGTGAGGCATGACTAGAGCTCCTGGGAATCAAATACTACACTTGCTCACTTATCATGGGAGCTCTCTCTCTCTCTTTATAAACAACTTTACTGTAATATAATTCACATACCCTAGAATTCACCTATTTAAAGTATATAGTGCAGGGCCAGCAGGTGGTGTGGTGGTTAAGGCACTGGAGCCCACATGAACAGCTGCACAGTTCAATCCCTAGACCCAGTGGCCTGAAAACCATGCGCAGAGTGTGTGCACGTATGTCCAAAATCCTGAGAGGAGAATGCATGAGAAGGGATTATGGCATGACCGTCTCTCCTGGGGTGTGATTTCTCATTTTCCTTCTCTCTGTCTCTCTCTCTCCAGTAAGCACACGTGCCCTATGGCAAAAAGTTCATAGTTCAATAGTATTTAGAATATGCATAGAGTTGTATAATCATCATTGCAAATAATTTTAGAATATTTCATCACCCCCCAGAAGAAACCCTTATACATTATCAGTTAATCCTCATCTTCCTCCTTCTTACCCCCAACTCCTGACTCTAAACTACCACTAACTTACTTTCTTGTCTATATAGTTGTTTGTATTGGAGACATTTCAAATAAATGGATTTATGCAAAATGTAGTCTTTTTCTGACTTTTCTATTTACTTGGTATACTGGTTTTGATGTTCATCCATGTTGTACATATGCCAGTACTTTATCTTCCTATGAATGTATGCTGTTCCTTTGTTTGAATATACCACATCTCGTCTATCCATTATCAGCTGATGAACATTTAAATTGTATATGCTTTTTACTATTATGTATAATGCTGCTATGAATATTCACAAAAAAGTTTTGTTAGAATATATGTTTTCAATTCCCTTGGATATATACCTAGAAGTAGCATTTTGGGTCACATGATAACTCTATATTTAATCTTTTGAGGAACTGCCAGACTGTTTTCTAAAGTGGTTGCACTCTTTCATAGTCCCACCTGCAATGTGCAAGGGTTTCACTTCTACTTCCATGCTAACACTTGTTATATTCTATTTTTTTGAGAGTTTTTTGTTTGTTTGTTTGTTTGTTTTTTTGCTATAGGGCGTATGCACTTGCCAGAAAGACAGAGAAACAGAGAGACAGAAAGTGAGAAATCAACCCCCAAGGGGGATGGTCACAATGCAATCCCTTCTCCTCCATTCTCTTCTCAGGATCTTGGGCACACATGCACACACGGCTGGCGTGAGTTTAAGACACTGGGTCTGGGACTCGAACTGCAGTTAACTACATGAGAGTCCAGCGACATAGCCATTACACTAACTGCTGGTCCCCTTATTTTTTTTATTAATTATGTGAAGTCACATTTCTTAGCTTTCATTTTAATTTCCCTGATAATTAATGATGTTAAATACCTTTTCATGTGCTTATTGGCCAATTGTACGAGAGGCTCTTCATAAAGTTTATGGTAGGAGCAGGGACTGGCAGTTAGCATAATGGCTATATCGCTGGACTCCTATGTAGTCGACCGCCGTTCGAGTCTCTGACCCGGTGGCTTAAACTCACGCTGGGTGCGTGTGTATGCATGCCCGAGA